ACTTAAATAAAGCCCTACCATCTTCATGGATTTGCCCTATAATGCTTCTAATCCTATTCTGATTCTGCCAAAGCCAATGGAACAATTGCTGTGCCCAGAATTATATCCATGACCTTCTTCCTCTGGTTGGAGAGAATGATACTGACCTTACTTTGAAAGCCCAGAGTCATGAATAGGGGTACTTGTTTTTTTTCAGAACTTGCCAACTGTGTCCTTCACATCATTCTAGGCATGTTGGTCAATGCAGCATAAGGTGACATCGGGTTATCTTTCAAAGTGCCTCTTCTGTCAGCCCCTGGTAAGAAACAAGCTTGCGAGGGATTAACGTGGCCAAGACAACCCCTCTCTCTGGGCCTGAGTTTCTCCAGGGGTAAAATTGGGGGTGAAGTGGTTACTAAAGTAGACAATGGATTTCATCCTAGGCCCAGCCCCCATGTCTGCTATGCTTCCACAAGCATTACTGCTATAGCTCCTGGCCAAGGGTCCCAGGAGTACATTAAGAAGACAAGCAGCCATGAAGAGAAGGCCTATAGGGAGGATTTGGATGGGGAAACAGCCCAAGGGAGGGAAGCAAGGTAGAATTCAAGAAGGAAACTATATACTTCTTGTAGCTCTCCTCTCTGGAGGATTTACCAGCTCCAATACCAAGAAACTTAGAATGGCCTCCTCTTTCTAAATTCTCTGACCCAGAGTACCAGCTTTGGGATGTGAGTGTGCATTCATGCAACACTCAGTGAAGTCTGGCATTTCTGTGTGTTAGATTGTAGAAAGCATACCCTGGCTAAGGCTGCAAGCCTAGAAGCGGGGCTAGGCTGGCCAGGTCTTCCCACTTCTCCCTAAACTGGTGACAGCAGAGCCTAAGATGGGTGGGGGGTCCCCTTGATCTTGCCTGTTTCAGGAGTGGCTCTGACACCCAGCTAGGAGGGAGAGTGGGACAGCCTTCCCAGCTTCCTTTTTGGGTTAATTGGTGTTTCCTCTAGTTACTCCCTACTTCCTTCCCCTCCCAGTTCCCATAGCAACTGGGCTGTAGCTGCCAGAACTTGATTGAGCCCAGCGGTGGCCTGACTAAGGTGGGGAAAGGCGGGCAGTGCTAGGTCAGGGCCTCCTATCCCACCCATGCCTCCCCCTACTTCTTTAAGGGCTTAGGATGGTCCAGTTCAGAGAAATAAGGCATGATAGAGAAACCTTACTGCCAGGCTTCTGAGAAGCCCAGAGCAGGCCTGGTTCTCCACAGCTCCTGTCCCCTCCCCCAGGCCTCTGTGTCCTGCCCTAGTTTAGACTTTAGTTGCTGGTAGGGTGGTTCATTAGGAAGATCCCTAGAGTCAGAGTGGCAAAACCAGGTTTTAGGTTCTTCCCTCTGCCACTATTTTATATACCTGTAGAGGAATGAGGCCTTCCCCCTTTCTGGATCTGTTTTGCCAGCTATAAATGGTTCTTCACCCTGACTGCATACTAAAATTGCCTGAGGTGTTTTGTGAACCTGTAGATGTGGGCCCCCACCTGCAAGGACTCTGACTTTGTTGGTCCAGGGGTGAAATAAGCTTGGCATTTTAAAAGCTCTCTGAGTGATTCTAACATGCACACAGAGCTGAGAAAGTGAGAATAAAAGATCTTCACAGGTCTCCCAACTGACTGTTATCTAGTTCTAAGACATTTCCTCCTATTCCTTGTAATATGCCCTACAACCCTCCTAAGCCTGGCCCTTCTGGCCCACTCCCTGTCCTCTCAGATGAGTGCCCAGGACCCTGTGACTATCCCAGCCAGCCAGTTCCCTGGTTCAGGTCTTATACTGATGAAACAGGGCAAGCTCAGGTTAAGACCATCTTGAGAGTTTGGAGATGTGGCTTAAGTGGTAGAGCCCCTACCTAGCAAGCTTGAAGCTTTGAGTTAAAACTCCAGTACAGCCAAAATTAAAAAAAAAGACTATCTAGAGAACAGAGACATTGAATCTAAGGTGGGGTTATTGCCCTGGATGGGAGTAGCACTGAGAGCCAGACCTTTTACTTGAAAAGGACCTCAGGCCACCTTCAAGCATTTGGACCAGCAATGGCTCAGGTGGCCTATTGTGGGGCCAAGAAACTGGATTACCTCTGAGATCCATGTCATTATTCTTCCTCCATTCTCCTCATTAGCTCCTTGCCTGTTCCTGCCTCACCACCCACAGGCCTGGTGTCCTCCCCAGGCAATCTGCTCACCCACTTGTTGCCATGGTGACTCTGGCTGGGGGTGTGGAGACTGGGGGGTCATCTAATTAAGGAGAAAGGCCCGCACTCCCACTGTCAGGCCACCCCTCTCCCCTCCCCTGCCTTCTCTCTCTCCCTTCTTCCCTCCCTCTGGGAGCAGATAAGGGAGTGCCCAGCCACTATAGCTTGTTACTGGGCTAATTGCAGTTGCCTGTGAAGAGGCCAGGAATGCCACTAGGGCCTCTTTATCTAGGAGCAAGAATATTAACCTGAAAGAGCCCAGAGCCATTCTCCAGTGTTCCTGTGAGCCCCCACTCCACTCATGGACATGGAGTGGAGGGTCGATCCTCCACAATTTGGGTTAAGAGCGAGGTAGACTCCAGGCCCAGGCTGGAAGAGATGCACAAACAAATGTAGACAGAGACTCAATTAATTTTTTGGCACTTGGGAGCTTAGAAGACAGAGGGCAGTCTTTGAAGTATTAGGGCCATTTACTTTTAGAAGACTTTACTCTCTTTCCTGCCTTATTTCTATTTTTCCAACCCTTCTGAACTCTTCTCCCTCTTTCTATATACTTCCATCTTTTTCAGCTATCCTGATTCCTTCTCATCCACCCTTGATCTGTCTTCCTCCCTTTCTTACTCTTGCCTTAGCAATCCAACTTCACCTTACCCCTTCTTATGCCCTCACCTGCTCTTATCTCCCTACTTTTTACCTTTCTCTCATCTTCAACTCCCCTCTTATTTTTTTCACTCATAGTTCACCCCCTTACCGCCCTTACAACCCCCTCTTATTCTCCAGTCTTCTACCGGACAACCCTGCTTTTTCACTACCAACATAATTGCCAGCATTCATTAGCCCTCTACTCCCTATGCTTTAGTACCTTCTTACACATTTCTCTTTTATTCCCTTATCCCACCCACTTTCACTTCCTCTTGTCCTATAAGCTCCTTTTACTGCTTCCTTTACCCCTAGCTCTCTCTTGGACTGCCTCTGACCTTCACCCATTCTTTTTCACCCTTCCTCTATTGTGTTCTCATTCTTTTTCAGGTATATTATATCCTAATAATATCTTCTTTAAGAATTTATATAAGTAGAATTGGAGACAAGTGTGTAAGTGATAAAAAGGTATTCAGTGGAGAATTGTTTAACCACAGCAACAACTTAAATATATCCATGGACAGGCAAGTGGTAGCTTCTCATCCCATTCATACAAAACCATTCTCTGTTCTCTTGGTATACCATGTAATCATTCTTCTCAATGTCTTTGCACAAGCTGTAACCTCACTATGGAATGCCCCTTTGTCTCATCTCTACCTTATATGTAAAATCCTCCTTTGAGTTCAGGCTCAACTATTAGTACTTCCCTGGACTCTTTCCCAGCTTTTCTATTTGCTTCCAGCCAATGATACACAGTTTGACATCTATAGTACAGGTCATATGCCAGCTATTCAAGTTAGATGTGATCTACTTATGTGATGTGAGTTTCCATGGGGAAGAGACGGTTCTCATCTACTCATCCTCTTCATTCAGGTCACAGATACTGTATGAAGACATAATGACTAATAGACAATGGCAAATAGATAAACCCATGTCTGCCCAAATGCAGCTCACCTTTCAGTGGAATCAACAGAGACAAAACAAAAGTGGAGACAAATTAATACTTGTTTTTTGTAGTGAATAAGGATTAAAGAAAAAAGAATAGTGAGGATGGCATCCTCTGGTATAAGTGGTCAGGGAGACCCAGTCTGAGGAAGTGATATTTAAACTGACACCTGAAACATGAGAAGGATACTGTCATACAGGAAAACATGATAGTATCCTACACAAAGCCACTAAGAGTACATTTGGCAATGGTTGGAGGTATTTATTGTTGTTCACAATGGAGAAGAGAAAATGTTATTGGCATCTAGAGGACAGTGGTATTCTCAGTATCCCACAACACATAGGATAACCCCCACAACAAAGAATTGTCTGACTCAAAATGTCTATAGTATTGCTGCTGAGAAACCCGGGGCTTGATAGGACCTATGGTTTGGAGCAGGGGGGCTTCCTTACTAGGTCCCAGTATCTGGTAGCAATGGGCTAGATGAAGGGCACATAGTAGATCCATGAAAGTGAAACTGCAAAAGAAAGATTGCAAAAGCAATGGAATTGTATCCATGATGCCTGCACTTACATCAGGGCTGAAGCCAACAAGAGAGAGCATGGATTAAGTGGAGCTCAAAAGCACATGTGGTGCCTGGTATGGCAGATTCTGGTTTTTATTAAAATAACCCCTCAAATTTGTATTGCCCTTTAGAGTTTACAAAACAGTTTCTTATGTACCATATTATTTGATCCACATAATACCCTAATGAGCAAGATTAGTCTCTCCATTTCTTTCTTGAATTTAGAAACAGTACAATCAGCCAAGGAAATGTTTGCTAAACAGAATGCAACTGAAATTTGCCTTGTTATATATGGGTAACCTTAGATAAATCAAAACACCTCTTTGAACTGAACATAAGATGCTAGGGTAGGATGAAGTAGAGGCTGGTAAAGCTTTGACATAGGACTAATTTTGTGATTTTTTGCCAAGAAGCAAATTCTGTCTTGGATGACTGTATGTTGGGGAACTTGGGACTTCTGGCTATGAGATAAGAGATCTTAGGGGAAGATTAGGGATCATGATGCAAACCTTTCTTCCTCTTCACCTCCTTGGGTCCTAGGGTTAGTTGGCCAGGGCTTTCTTGAGAGACCAAAAATACTTTCTCCTCAGCTCTGAAGGTAGGAAGGGGCAGATATGTGGACTGATGCTCTTTCCTCTTCCCACAGGCTGTCTACAAGGCCTGGCTGTGCTCAGAATACTTCAGTGTGACCCAGCAGGAATGCCAGCGCTGGGTGCCCTGCAAGCAATACTGCCTGGAGGTGCAGACCCGGTGCCCCTTTATCCTCCCCGACAATGAGGAAATGGTATACGGAGGGCTCCCAGGTTTTATCTGTACAGGTAAAGGCTGGGCACTGGGGAAGAGGGAGGAGGTGTGAACTCAGAGCAGGAACCAGGTCAGGGGAGTGGGAGTGAGGAGGACAGAAAGGGAGATAGGTTAGAAGGAGATCAGTGGTTGGATAAGTAAGCAGCAAAATCCATAGGTTGGGATGGGGCCAAATGGAATAGGAAAAAAAGACCAGGATAGCCATCTCTGCAAAATATGCTCAGCCAGGAAGTCAGTTTCCCAGAGAAACTGACTAGGATACCTGGGAGAGAAGGGCTCAGAAAGGAAAGGTACTGAGTGCCAAGGAGAAAGAAGTTGCATTCAGTTACCTGAACAGTCCCAGCTTTGCAAATCTCCTCTCCAGGTAAGGCAGAACCATTGCCCCCACCCCCAGCACCCCACCCCACCTTCCTTATTCATTGGCAGGGTTGCTGGATACTTCACCAAAGCGGCCGGAAACCAAGTGCTGTGACGTGCAGTGGGTCTCTTGCGAATCGGAGAAGAAGAAGTTCAAGGAGTCTGAGACCCCCAAAACCCACCACCAGCAATTCCACCACTCCTATTTCCACCACTACCACCAACAGTACCACCACTACTATCCCCGCCATGATCCCCCAGGCCGAGTCAGCCACAAGCCCTCCCTGCTGCCAGTCTCTGGGGGCTCCCGTCTCAGCCCCAGCAGGATCCGGCTCTGTGTCCTTGTCCTCATGCTCCTCCATACCATGGTGTCCTTCTCCAGCAACCAGGGTGGTGGGGGACTGGGGTTGGAGACATTGCCTGCCCTAGAGGAGGGCCTGACACAAGAAGAGTGACAGGGGTAAGGGAGGACAGACCTCCACCACACACTGACATCAGCTCCAGCTCCCCCTCAGGTGGGGGGGAGGGAGCTCCTCCCATGGGAGGTGCAGGACCAGGTGGGAAGGTGGGGGAAACAGGGGGTCAAATTAGCCCCCAACCTACCCCCACCCCCAAAGCAGCTCCAACAGAATGGCCAGAGGGCCCCAGGGAGCTATAAATTCATCCCGGAGTAAAAGATAGGAGCAGCAGGTGCCCCCTCCCAAGCCCCACCTATGGGACTTAGCAAAAAAAAATAGGGGGAGTGGGGGCTGGAATTGCCCACCCCCGCTGAGAGCCCTGACCCCAGGGAAGGAGGCTGCTCACCCAATCTCAGCCCTGCAGGGAATGTTGGGGGGCATAGAGAGGAGAAACTCTTTTCCCCCTCAGCATTCCTTTTGTTGCCAAGATCCTTAATTCCCTCCTGCCCATATCCCTACAGGCAACGGCAGACAGTGCAATTGCCCTCCTGCCACTTCAGCGCCCCTTGGCCCATGTGGGGCTATCAGAAGTGAAGCGTCAGACTGGAAGATGAGGTGCGCACAGTTGCAGCTGTATTGGGGCTCTGGTTAAGCTGTGCCCTTAACCCTCTAGGCAATGAGGGGTAGTGCTGGGGTATGGAATGAATGGTGAAAGAGAATGAAGATAGGGGAAGAAGAGGACAGGCAAGATTCAAACTGGGGGCCTGAAGAAATGGCCAAATTGGCTCCAGCCACCTGGCCCAAATCAGAGAGTTGCATAAGGATCCCTCTGGGGAAAGAGCACAAGAGATGAGTTGCTTGGTGGAAAACAGAAGGCTGAGGGCCAACAGTTGGACTGCCGCTGTCTGGAGGGCCATATCTTACAGAAGGTGCACACACTCTCAAGGGCCACTCTTGCCCTGGAGATCTTGGCCTTGAGGCCAAGGACCTTTCATTTCCGATCTCCATGGGGAGGAGGGACTTGAGCCCAAGTGGGTCAGGCCTGGCCTGGGTCCTCATACTCCCTTACCTTGTCCTAGCCCAGGCCTCCATGAAGGAGAGCCTGGTGGTTTTGTCCCAGTGCTCTCCAGAGATGAGCCTCCCCCATCCCTACCTGTCCCTATCCCCAGCCTACCAAAGAGTATTTATCCCTTCCCATCCCTGGCCCCATGGGTTACTAACCCAACTGTAGAACAACCAGACTCCTAGTGGGTCCCTTTCCCCAGACATCCCTGTCCTTGTCCTTGCTGGAGAAAATTCACAAGCTGGCACAAGCTGATGAAAGACATTGTGGTGTTGTCCCTTCTTAGGCTCTTTAGTTAGGCTAGGGACTAGATGAGAGAAGAAGGCTATTAGCCTTGCACTGGTCTGCTGGGATTATATTATCTGAGATATCTAAAAGCCAAGAAAAGCTGATAAGAATAAGAGTCATAAGTGTGTGGGACAGGCCAGGGGCTTTCAATGCCAGAAGGGATAGAAGGACACATGGTGTCCTATGGTGGGGAAGGGTGGTCCTAGAGTTATGTTAGGGGATTGAGGCAGGGGAAGAAAGCTGAACTTGCTCAGCTCAGGGACAAATAGGAAGCCTACCTACGAGAGAAGAACTTCCTTGACTGGGTCCCAAGTTAGCTTAATGAGCCTGGGGAGTATTTCCCTGCCAGTTTCTCATATCTCAAAGCCTTTCCCCCGGCCCTGTGCCCTGTCCATACACTCCCATTTGGCCCACAGCACTTCGGGCCTGACCACATACCCCATCCCTAGAGTGCTCTTTTCAGCTGGGAAGGGGAAGAGGTGCTGGCTCCTTTCCAGATGTGCTTATGTATAAGTGAAAGATAGGCACTCGGGCTCCAGAGAGACCCTAGTTACTGCCTTCTAACTCCTGCAGCCTCAGGAGGGGAAAAGGGACTGGGCAGCAAAGAGGGACCATACGGCCCCAGGGAATGGGCCCTTGGAGACTCCCATCCTCCCTTCTCCCTCACCAAGTGCCCAGGAGACCCCTGGCTCAGACCAGCCCAAGGCCTTGCCCAGTGGCAGGGGAAAGGGGCACCACACTCCACCTCAAAGTCATCTGACTGTCCCCATCTACCCCTACCACCTTGACCTTCCACCACCTCTCCAGCTGCCCCTGCCCTCCATCACAGGCAGCAGAGCCGGGCAGCTTTCTTATGCCATTTTCTACACTGTGCTTCATGAGTAGGACTTTCTTGCACTAGTTCCTATGATTGAGTCCACGCTGGTTTCCTAGTAGTCCCCATCCTTTCCTCCCTTACCTGGCTATAATTCAGTTGTCTCTGCCCTTCCTCTTACTTCTGCCTCTGTGTTCCAGTGAGAGTCTCTGTATGTGTACTGCTTTCTGTTTCGTTGCATTGTGGGGCAGAGGCCTCTCTGCTCTTGTTTAACCCCATAAAGAAATAAATGGTAAGACTTGATGATAACCTTCCCCTTGTGGCTTTGTTTTGTGGAGTCTAGCTTGCTGACCTTGTGCCCAGCCCATCAGCTCAGATCTCAGAAGAAAATGTAAACTATGTCATAGGCCATTCTACATATGAGTCACAAAGCCAACCACCACCAGAGAGCAGGCAGATAATTAAGGAGAGAAGTGTGCTGGGCTGGGAAAAAGTGCAGGCTCAACCAGGAGCTATTGAGTCTGAAGGGTACATGTTAAAAAAGAAGCTTGGCCCTAAGAGTGGGAATGTGGGCCCATTGTTGCCAAATTTTCATTCTTCAAGTGAAGCAGGACTCAGGATTTCCACATGAAGCTCCTTAAGTCCTAAGTGATGGCTCAAGTCTGAAAAGCAACTGACCAATCAATCTACCTCAGTGTGGGCTGAACAAGATCAGCAGGTCCCACCTGACCTGGAGACTCCTACTTCTCCACATTTGTCATGTCCTCTGGTTCTAGTCTTGTCCACCTCCACACTACTGCAACAAGTTCATCTCCCACCACAGAAGTGAGGGATACTCAGGAAGAATTGGGGTAGGGGCTGCTAAAAGGGTCTTGTGCCACTATACTTACCACAAAATGGGAGAAAGGAGAACTAAGGTATCTGTGGCTCAACTGGTAGAACACCTGACTAGCAAGCACAAGACATTGAGTCCAAACCCCAGTAGAATAAAAATAAAGTTCAAAGGTGAGTGCTGGTGGGCTCATGCCTATAATTCTAACTACTCAGGAGGCTGAGATATAAGGATCATGATTCAAAGCAGCCCAGGCAGGGAAGTACATGAAACTCATATATAATTAGCCAGCAAAAGATCAGAAGCAGGAGCAGGGCACCAGTATCTCATGTCTGTAATCCTAGCTACTCAGGAGGCTGAGATCTGAGGATCCTGATTCAAAACCAGCTTGATTAGGAAAATCCACGAGACTTTTGTCTCCAATTAACCAATAAAAAGGCAGAAGTGGAGCTGTGGCGCAAGTGGTAAAGCTGTAGGCCTAAGCAGAAAAGTTCTGGGACAGCACCCAGGCCCTGAGTTCAAGCACCAAGAGTGTTACCAAAAAAGAACCAGAAGTGAAGCTGTGGATCAAGTGGTAGTGCACCAAACTTGAGCAAAAAAGCTAAGAGACAATGTCCAGACCTTGAGTTCAAGTCCCATTATCAGGTAAATAAACAAACAAATAAATAAATAAATGTATGTATGTTTTAAAAGGAGACTGCTTGCTCTGAGCTGCTGACTTACTTTGCCCAAAACAAAAAACACCTAAGTTCCTCCCTCTTCCCTCCAAAAGCAGCAGAGCATGGAGGTTAGAATATGATTCCTATAGCTAGAGTCTGATTCATATTCTAATACCACAAGCTCCTCCTTCTGTGACTGGCCAAGCCTGGGTGTGCTCATCTATCAAAGGGGTTATTGTGAGAAGTAGATGATGTCCATAAGCACTTAGCACGACAGCTGGCACAAAGGAACGGCTCAAATGCCAATAATGATCATCGTCATTAGTCATTCACTCTTCTTCCGTCACCCCCACCTTAAGCGGTCACCAAATTCTATCATTCTCCCTCTGTAATATGTATTAGATTCTTCCTGTTCCTCTCCACTCTGCCTCCCACTAAGCTGCTTCAGGCTTTCAATAGCTTTTGTGTGAACTACAACAATAGCCTAACTATGGTGCAATGTTAACCTCTTGACCAATTAATCTTGCTCCCAGCCATACTCCACCTACCATTGTGCCAGGCACTTTGCAGGCAATAGGTACTTTGTAAAAGAACTGCTGCCATGGTTGAGTTTCCTAAAGAACATAGTTAATCTTCCTAAAGCAAATGTGTTACACTACTCTCTCTCTCTCTCTCTCTCTCTCTCTCTCTCTCTCTCTCTCTCTCACACACACACACACACACAGACACACACACACACAAAATCAGATGGTTTCACACTGCCTGGAGAACCAAGTGGAATGTTCTAAGTATAACACTCAAGGCTCTTTGTTTCTGGTCCTATCTTACCAGTGTCATCTTCCACCATAGCACTCCTGGACTCAGGTCTCAGCCCATCTCCCAGATTCTTGTTCCCTGAAGGCACCCTGTGCTTACTCCCCTCTCACCCTTGTTTCTTCTGCATGGAATGCTTTCTCTCCATTGCTGCCTGTCCATGGCTTAGATAGGTTTCAAAAGGCCAGCTCAAATACCAACTCTACAATGAACACCTCTACATTCTCCCTCCTCACAAACTGTAAACAATCATTTTTCCCTCTATACTTTGATCATAAGATTTCTTATATACTGCTGTGTTCATTTATTCAAAAATATAGCTATTGAGCAATTATGATATGTCAAACACTGGGATGAGTGCTGGCAGTGCAGCAGGACATAGATCACATAACCTTTAGCATTGGGCCACCATGATGTGTTCACTTAGCAGTACTATTTTGTTCTCTCTATTTCCAAGAGAAATAAGCCAGAATCTCCTGGACTTGGGTATAGTGGCGAGAGCTGAGGGATCTAAGGACTTTCTCTAAGTCTCACAAAAGTAGAAGGTATATATCTACAGTGTTGAGAATACAATGGCTGTGGCAAGCA